CAAACTAAACCAAACTACACAAGAATTAACAAATTTGAAATGACCAACAAACAACTTAACACACCCTCTAAAGTATGGTTCCTGGACTAATTTTCAAGCATAAACTAAATTGAAATTTTCGAACAGATCGAAATGCAAACTAAGAAACTAGATTTGGTAGAATTAAAAACCAACAAAAATCAAAGACTTTAAACTAAACTTTGAAGATGACACACTGAAATGAATGACATGCGATTGAGTTGTCAACAAGACTTTTAATTGGGTAGAATAAAGAGGAACAATCTGGACAAGTAGTATGAATTTCAAAGCCAAAACAAATGGAGGTACTCCACTTAGATTAGCTACTATCAAGAATTCTCTTTTTAGACAAAATTGATTCTTTATATATATATATATATAATGTTGTTAAGATCAAACAGAATTTGCACTTTTGTCTCTTTTCTTTTCTTTTTTTAATTTTTTTATTTTGAAACCTATGGCTTGATTTGATACAATCTTTCTTTCCTTTTTTTTTTTGTTTAATATATATACTAATGATGCAAAATTCAGTAGTAGCTAAGAATAGTATATAATTCTAATAGCAAAAAAAAAAAAAAAATGACAAACGAATAATAATAAAAAAAGGAATTGACAAACTAGATGTAACACAAGTACTAGACAAACTATACGTAAGACAAAGTTTTGGACTCGCAAACTTAACAACTTATAATTTGGGTGAAAGAAAATGCAATCTGGATAGAAATGAAGTTGATGAACAAACTCTTTTTTTTTTTTTATTAATTGGACTAAACAAAATTATGAGGGATTAAAACTAATCAAAAGAAAAAGAACTTGATTGGAATCAATGCTCCGATACCAACCGATGTGAACCCACCTAACTCTTGGCTAGAGAACTCATGAACAAGTTGAACGAACCCCGAAAAGCCAAATCAGATCTAAGAAGGATATGGATGCCACACTCCACAAAGGTAGAAGGGGAGTGATAAGTTGCTAAGAATGCCACAAGAATTGTTAGATTCTTAATAAGTTCTAAGGGCAGTTCTTGAAAGAACTAAGGAGAGAATTCTTATAAAATATTTTAATTGATCAAAGGTTAAAAAATTCGAATTACATTATTTTGCCTTATAAAGGCTGAATTGATATTCTAAGAAAGCTAATAATCTAAAATGCTTAGTAATCAACAAAGAATAAAGTATGACTTAGGATCTATCAAAAACAATAATTAAACATTAATTCAAGTCTTCTTAGATTTCAGCAAAATGGATTGGAATTCTGCAACCACTAGCTTAGGACTATGCGCCATAAGTTTGATATAAATTTGGTCCAAGAATTGAGTCAATGTACCCTCAAATTGAATAAAATATTTAGTTAATTGTTATAGCAAATTGGCAATAAAATCACGGCTCAAGTTTGCCCAATTGGAGAAGCAAACTCATGGCCCAAAATCCATAATGACAGCAACCCATTCGGCCCAAATATTTAGTGATGGTCTTAGCTCAATAAGCAACAAAGTGAAGTCTAGAATGAATGCAATCCGACTTGGTTAATTTGGTAAAAGGGGAGCAAAGATTGATAGCGAGTCTCATAGCCCACTTGATCCATTTGGAGAAGGAAACCTAAGGACAATAGCACCTTTGGCCCAACTTGATGAAGGAGAATCTCAAACCATATAGCAAAAATTAAAGTTTTGATTTCAATTTTGGAATTAAATGATAGGTTCAACCTTTTAAGCTTGGATACAAATCACCAAGTCCATTGAAAAGTCTTCAAGCCCATGGTCAGCTCCAAGAATCATACCGGAGGGAGTTATAGAGATAACTTCATCATAAGGTGTAGTGTAATTAATTATACATGAATTGTTATCTTTACACAATTAATTCAAGTTTAATTAAATGAATTGAATTAATTAGGGTTAGGGTTCTTGAACATGTGAATTGGGAAAAACGATTTAAGAGTTGAAATTGATGGTCAATTAATTAAGCATGTAAAAAAGTAGTAAAAATTAAAAAATACTTATGTTTTATTTGGTTTGGACTTATTATTTCTTATTTATGATCGACCTCATACGAAACCTCTACTTTCACTAGTAATCTTGTAAGATAAAGAGAAGAGGCTTGTTGACTTGCATTCATTGCACTTAGAATATAAGTCGGTGTTGGTAATACTCTTGACCTATCTAAGTTCTAGGTTAGGGATGTTACGGTGGTATCGGAGCGGCTTAACCTTAGTAGTTTAAGTTAGAATGATCGATTAAGCACACTCAAGTCGGGCCTTAGTGACAAGGATAAAACCGTATGTATTGCTCGATAAATATATGTTTGTATGATGTGTTTATGTGGTGATATGTGAATGTTATATTGATTTAAAATGTTTGAATGTAAAGGTAATTATGTCCGATTCTTAGTTATTATAATGGAAATTCCGAGGATGGAATTTTTATAAGGAGGGAATGATGTAATATCTTCAACCTAAAAACCTCATTGAAAGAGATTATGTTGTAAGAATAATTTATTTGATTAATAAATGAATATTTATTTAAAGTAAGGATTGATAAATTATGTTTGAATAAAAATAAAATTGATACAAATATAATTATTATGAAAGGTAAATGAATTAATTTTAATGAAAAAGAATTAATTAAAGTATGAATTAGAGGTTTATAATATTAATTGATATGGTTATGTGTTAACCTAGGTGTGAAATCACAAAATCATAGGAGTTTAATCATAACAATTAAAAGTTTGAGTACTTGATTAAAATAATTAAGAACCGTTAGGGACCACATTCACTCTAGGAAAGGCCTAGGATAAAGGCTAGATTATGGGAAATTGAAAGGTTATAGATTAAAATTAGAAGGGCTAATTGTAAGAATTAAAAGTTTAGGGACTAAAGTTCAAAATGCTAGTGATTTAATGGGCTAATTAAATGAGTTTCAGAGGATAGTTCAAGAAACTACTAAGCTAGAAAAAGAGGGAGAAAAAATATCTCACAAAATCGGTAACCAAGGAGAAGAAAGGAGGAGGAAAATCAACCTAAAAATCTAAGAAAAAAAGAGGAAGAATGAGAAAAATTAAGAAAAATCTATAGAAGCCATTAGTTACCAATGTTTAAGATCAAACTAAGTGTGATACACTTGCATTAATCTTAAGGAAAAACATTGGCTATAAATATGAAAGAAGAAGATGGAAGTGAAGTTAAAACTTTATATGTTCAAGGTTACACCAAATCGAGAATAAGCAAAACCAAAAAGAAAATCACCTAAACAACACTCCAAACCATCTTAGACATCTTTGAAACACTCAATTCATTTTATTTTTCCAAATATTTTATTTTTACTTAATTCCTTTTATAAATTCGAATTTAATTAAAAATAAGAAATAATCAGTATAAAAATAACCCAATTCACTCAATAGAATAAATTACTAATATTTTCCTTCAAAACCAATTTTATTATAATCCAAATAATTTAATTAGAAAATATTCATTAAATATTAAAGCATTAAATCTTTATTTAACACTATTACTTTAATAAAAATTCCTTATCTTAGAAATTTCATTAATTAATTCAATTGAACATTTAATAAATTCATTTAGACATTTAATTAGAGTTTTGATCGTTCAAAATAATTTTTGGGCTTATGGAACTTTGGTTCCCAATTAATTTAAACTTACCAAATAAACTATTCCATTAAATTCATTTATTCCTTTTCTATTAAATTCTATTTAATTATTTAATCATTAAAATCATTTCTTCTTTACCATTTTAATTCCATACTTTTCACCATCAAGTCTTTAGCTATTAAATCTATTAACCATTAAATTAATGGTTCCATTTAACCTCAAATTAATTCCATTTCTTATAACATTAATTTCAAAAGTCCAATTCAATTAATTAAGTAGCCAATTTATTCCATAAGCTACCAAACTAAACACCTAATCAATTAATTACGTATTCTAGATTAAGAAAGAAGACATAAAACATTAATTGAACTTTAAATGTCAATGATTCCTTAAGATAAGCATTATGGCCGAATCAATCATGAAACTTAACCAAATCAATTTCAACATGTAATTAACCATTTTTCATGCATTTTCCATCCTTCTAAACCTTAGAAGCATTATTGAATTTCAAGTTACCCTTTTTCCTTCTTTTTAGGTCGAATATTACCCAATGGAATACTAACTTCCATTTGATTATTTTACCTCAAAATTTTATATCTAATCCCTTAGTCAATCATTCATTCATCATTTATACGCCAATTAGGTCAATCAAAATAATCAACCTAAACTTTCACTCGGGCCGAATTACTCATCAAAGTGACCAAACTTCAATTTTCTTATTCAACACCATAAAATTCACCTAAATCATTTCATCGAACACTTTTTATACATTAAGCACATAAACCATAAATTTCCTCATAATCTAGGGTTTTAAGCCATATTGTTCTAAAATAAGAAGACTACCAAAGTTCACATTTCCCTTCTAATCAATCAAATACAAAAATTCCAACATCACAAACATAATTACAGTATCTAAATCATCCAAGTCTAAAAACAACACCATAACTCCAATAATAAAGTCATAAAATCATACTCTTTTTTTTTTTTATCAAACTTTGGAGTTTCATTACTAAACGGAGTCAAACACCAAGCATTGCATCAAGAATTATGGAGGGATAGGACCTCACTCCACTAGATCGAGCAGAGAAAAAGATGACTTAGCTAATTTGTGAGCCACATAATTCATTGATCTTTTCACAAAACTAAACAAACAATTAGGATAGCACTCCTTTAACATACAACAATCATCAACCAACAGTACCGAAGCTAGATTGTTCACCTCCTAGTTGTTAATTGAATCTATTACCAATTGAGCATCGGATTCAATAACAACATTAGAGACCCGCAACTATTTTAACCAACTAAGTGCTTCACACACCTCCTTTAGACCATCTTGCTAGCCTTTTGACTCCCTTGAATTGTTCTTTAGTTGTTTGATTCTATTCTTTCTCTTTCGATGGTTGCCATAGCATGAAAATATCTTGAATTGGAGTCCCCTTCTTGCAACCGAATAACTTAGCCCTTTGTTTCCGTAAGACCTCCCTCCGGTTCGACACCTCTACGTATTTCTCCCTAACTCGCCTTAAACTCCTTTAGCTTTGACACATCTTTACCCTATCTCGGAATTCTCATGCGTCTTTTGAACCCTTCTATCCTTCTCTTAAAGTTACCTATGCACATATCTCCCCACCTTCCGAAGTTCTTCCCCATATTTCAGGATTCTCTCCCGGATCCGTTTCTCTTTATGTAACTCCTTACATTTTCCCAAGTAACTCCCCACACCCAGCCTCCCTTACCCATGCATTTTCAAATCTAAACCTCCTTTTCCCCTTAGTTATACTACCAGCCTTGGGGTCAAGAAAGATTGGTGAGTGGTCCGAAGATGATTGAACCGCATTACTCACCTAAAACTTGAAGAACCTCTCCACCCACTTTCTTATAGCCAACACTCTATCCAACCTTTCCTCTACCCAGTCATATGTTCCTCTCCCCTTCTCCCATGTGAACTTATACCTAGCCATTCCCAAATCCTCTAGCTC